AATGAAAGGCAATCTTATCATTTTTTTCAAAAAATTTAATATTAAATTAATACCTTAACTTAGAGTGACATGATAAAAATTTAGGGGCTTTCGTTTATGATAAGCCTGGCGCAGGGTCTTCAACGAAATTTTCCCCATATAATACTCTCCGTATTTACGACATCCTCTGGTTCCTTATCATGGGAATCCCGCTGGACTTGGAAATTGTTTTATTGCTCTTCTCCTTCTTCTATCCAATCTGCAATTTCCAATACGATGCCTTCTTTTGCTATGGTTCCTTCTTCTTCCCACCTGTGGCTCCCCCGAAAGCCACCCAAGCTTGTTTTACCCGTTCGTGCATCTTCTTCTTCTTCTTCTCCAGTTTCTTCCACTTCCTTCGATTTGAAGTCCTATTGGACTTCTCTGATGTCTCAGATCAATCTCAAGCTGGACGAAGCCATTCCCGTCAACTTCCCTCCCCAGATCTACCAAGCTATGAGGTACTCTGTCCTCGCCAAAGGTGCTAAGCGCTCCGCTCCTGTCATGTGCATCGCCACCTGCGAACTCTTCGGCGCCCACCGCAGCGCCGCTTTCCCCACCGCCTGCGCCCTTGAAATGGTCTCCTTCTTTACTCTTTTTTATTTTGGCCTTAATTTAGTAATTTCACGCTTTTCATCTTACGGTTATTACAATTGCTCGTTTTATAGCATTCATGTAGTTTGATTGCTCCTTGGAATGTTGCTTCAATGTCTGGTTGTTATTCCTTTTTCCAGTCGCATTTGCTTAAAAATGCAAAAGATAAGAAATAGTCAGCTAAAGTGGCACTTGTTTGTCTTAGACCTCAACGAAAGAATCATTGGTTTTTACAACACCTATTTTTATCTTTCTGAACAAAGTAGTGTGGCTTAACTTTTATAACTAACAGTTTGTTCTGGAAACCAAAATTATACGAAAAGGCTTGCCTTTGCTAAGTTCCTCAATTTTATTCATGAGAGGCTCGATAGAATAAATGGTTTATGGTATATTTCTGACAGGTTCATGCAGCTTCATTGATCCATGATGACCTACCCTGCATGGATGACTCTACCTCTCGTCGAGGCCAGCCCTCCAACCACACTGTCTATGGTGTTGACATGGCCATACTCGCTGGTGACGCTCTTTTTCCACTTGGATTTCATCACATTGTTTCCCATACTCCCTCTGACCTTGTGTCTGAGGCCCAACTCCTCCGTGTGATCTCCGAGATCGCCCGTTCTGTAGGCTCCACCGGCATGGCGGCGGGGCAGTTCCTCGACCTTGAAGGCGGGCCTAGCGAAATTGGATTCATCCAAGAAAAGAAGTACGGGGAAATGGGGGAGTGTTCTGCAGCATGTGGAGGACTTCTAGCTGGTGCTGAAGACGATGACATTGAGAGACTGAGGAAGTATGGGAGAGCTGTGGGAGTACTGTACGCAATTGTGAATGATATTTTGAGAACAAAAACAAAATCTGAGAAAGAAAGTGAGGGGAAAAACAGGGGGAAGAGTTATGTGGAGATATACGGAATTGACAAAGCAACTGAGTTGGCTGAGGAGCTTAAAGCAAAGGCCAAGGCAGAGTTAGATGGATTTCCTCAGAAGTACCAGGAACGAGTGTTTCCTCTGTATGGTTTTGTGGATTATGCTATGGATAGAAGTTTCAGTGTTGTGGACGCTACTAGTGCATGACGGATTGGTTCTTGGAATTTGATCCCACATTCTTTTGCCGGAATCTTCTTCCATCACTTTTTTTGACGGCAGTAGCTCAAATGCTGCTTCTGAGCTGAAGCAGCACGGACACACGCAGTTTTCTGCCTGAAACCTTAACCAGAGCTGGCTAATTCTGATTTCATATATCTGTTGTTTATTCTCGGAACATTGCCATCAAAATTGTTCGGATGCATGATAATAAGCGTGATCCTAAGATTAACTGTTTATTGTGTTACTGTAGGCGGGTTAGTCTATACAAAACGCTCAAGTTGTTAAATTGTTTTGAGATTTTGTTGTATGTTTTTTTTTGGTCTCGTGGGAACGGATGTCGCAGTTGATTATTGAGCAAGAGCAGAAGCCATGATTTAGCTGAAAGAAGAGCTTGGAAGCACATGCAATGGTGGTGATAGAAGCCAATGGAAGCGCAGTATTTGCTGACAAGTTCAATATCCGTAGCAGGAAAATTTTTTCTTCATGTATTTGTCGCTCTCTTGATTAGGCTTATAAATAGGCATGTGATATTTTAATCCCAGGGAGAATGACGCTACTGCCTCATGAAAGGGACTTTATTGTGGTAAAATAGTAAAATACCAGAAAATAGGAAGATTTCATTTGAGTTTCCAAAAAAAAAAAAGTTGAATTATACCATGCTAAAAGATTTCATTTGAGATTTCATTTGAGTTTCCAATTTTTTTTTAAAAGAGTTGAATTATACTAATCTCTTTATCACTATGGTTCAGAGTCTAGTTATGGATTTGGATTCAGTGAGTAATATAAATAAATTTACTTGAGTATTTCATTCGATGTGGTTATAATCATTTAATTTATTCAAAAAGTTGTTAGAAATTGTCACGGGATATTCATAAAATTTCAGATTGCAAATTTAATGATGGTAATTGAAACGCTCACTGTATAGAAAAATTTTAGTTACTATGTCTAAATTTTAGTAGTTATTGGAGCTTCACAGCTATTACAACAAATTCGTAACAAGTAAATTGCGATAAGATGGTTGCAAATTTGTTAGATGTTCTTTACCCTTATTTTCTCTTGAAGTTATATGTTATAATACTGTGAGAATAAGCGAGGTTTTGTAGTTAAATAAAAAGTTCTGCATGTGGGCATGTCATCTAAGAATAAGAAATAAGTTGTGTTGTCAATTATTTATGATTTGATGCTTGCGGAAATTGCAATAAACTTTATCATATATTTTTATACAATAGTATATAATATAATTCTTTGCTATTACTGAAAAATATTTGTTTAATTGATAAGAATTTAGGGTGCGTTTGGTTTTCCTCTATTTCACATTCAGAAAGTAAAATTTTACTTTCAAAAAGTTGAAAGTTATTTGGGTAAAATATTTGACAGAAAAACACATCCTGAAAGTACATTCAAACAGTAGTTGAAAGTGGATTTCTGAAACGTAACTATCTGAAGCTTTTGAAAAGTGGATTTGAAAAGTAGGATGTTATTTGACCATACTACCCTAAGTTTAATCTCTTATTTTTTTATTTAAAAAATAGTTAATTCATTAAAAATATAATTATTATTTTAATAATAATAATTGGGTATCAATTTTTTTAGTATTATGAATTAAGTAATTAATCATGTTAATTTTTAGCATTAATGTATAATAAAAATTACAAATTTTTATTACATCTTTTAAAATTACAAATTAAAAAATACAAATAATTAGAGATCAAATTTTTAGCATTATAGATCAAAATTTATATTATTTATAATCTTTATTATATTTTTTTAAATATTTTGAATATATTACATTTGTATAATAAAAATTATAAATCATTATAAATCAATGTCCTTTTTGGTAATTGTAGATTCAAAAGCACATTTCACTATCACAAACCAAACAACTTTCAATGTATCAAACTGACTTTTGAAAAAATATATCCAAACACAAATTTTGTTACAACAACTGACTTTCATTAAACTGACTTTCTCCAAATGAACTTTCACCAAATGAACTTTTGGTAAACTGAAAACTAAACGCACACTTAATCTACAACTTACGCAGTTGCAGAATCAAATTTTAATGTCTACATGAAGATTTTATTGGTGGATAATATGTAATTTTAAATTATTAATTTATATATATATATATATATATATATCACTGACTATTATCATTCTTATGAAATTAGAATAAGATGTACTGTAAAATCATTGCTCACTTTGTGTTGTATAACCTTTTATCTAATTTTATTTATTTTAAAAAGTTTGGATTTGGATAACCTTGTGTTTTTCAACGGGTTAACAGTAACAATGAAATTATTAAAAAACAGTAATAATGAAAGTTAAGCAAAACAAATTCATCTGAATAATGTCAAAGGCAGTACCGGAAAACCTCGGCAGCAACTCAGCTTAACTTTTGTCTTAGCTAAAAAAAAAGACAAAAAGAAAAGAAAAAAAAAGAAAAAAAAAATGGTAACAAGAACCTAAATCGAGTGCCTAAACCCCAAGGTACGTAAAATCGGATCGGTCATTGAACCGATTATGGCACTGGGTCACGGGTTAGTGGTTCAATTAGGGTTGAACCGGGGGTTGAACCGGTGGCAAACCGGTCATGATTAAAATAATACAATTTAAATAAAAAAACATTAATTATAAAAATATTCAACTAAATTCAACCACTCAAAAGTCTAACAGTAATAAAATACAATATTTTAAATATCTATCATTACACTTACAACTCTTCAATTTCAAAAGTCTAGAGAAGAGATGGAAATAGAGTTGGAGAAGAGACGGAGATTGAGCTAGAAAAAAGACGAAGAGTCAGAGACTAAGTTGGAGAAGAGATGAAGATAGCAAAGACAGAGATAGAGCTGGAGAAGAGATGGAGATAGAGCTGGAGCCTGAAGAAGAGACGGAGACTAAGCTAGAAAAGAGACACTGATTAGGTTAGGTTGAGAGAGGAGAGACACAGATGAAAGGCCGAAATAAATGCTGTCTGAAAATCTGAATTGGACTTAGCGTGCTCTATCTCTAATTTTTTTTTTTTTGACTTTAGTTTTACTTTCTTTTTGTTATCTTATCTTATTTCTAAATTCAACACTCCGAAAAATAAAAAATAAAAAAAAATTTCAAAAAAAATAACCCGGTTAACCCAGTCAACCCACCGGGTTAACCGGGTTACACCGGGTTGAACCCGGGTTGACCGGGTTACATCGGTTTATTTTGTCACCGGTTTAGGAGTAAACCCAGACCGGACAAGAGACCGGGTCACCGGTTTCCGGGTTGACCCGGCCGGTCCGGTCCGGGTTTCAATACCATGCTAAACCCTTCTTGAAGGTCCGGGAGACTGAGACTGAAGCAAATACTGTAGAGAAACCCTAGACCCCTGTGTTCTGCTCCCCCGATCACTCCCTCTGAATTTTCTGGTTCTTGTTCCACTCATTTCTCTATTGCATTAGAGGTTTATGTCTTTTCTGGATCTCTTTCTTTTACGTTGTTTATTGATGAATTAGAACGAAATCAGCATGCTTGTAATCGCTGCTTGCTTCTTCACTTTCGAGTTTTATGTAAGGCTTCTTCTCTCTCCCCCTGTAGAAATCATAAATGGCAGTTGCTGCACAAACCCTTGATATTTCCGGGGAGCGACAATCTGGACAGGACGTTCGGACCCAGAATGGTACCTTCCTCCCAACTTCCATTTTATAAAAGAAGCTTCTTTTTTCCATTTCTTTCATATGTCTACTTGAAAAATGTTGCTGCTTTAATGCATCATTCCTTAATTGATATCAAGTCACAATTCTAACACACTTGCACATTGGGGGTCTAATTTGCGTAAATGCGCTTTGAACTTTGCGTTACAGTGGTGGCTTGCCAAGCAGTTGCGAACATTGTGAAATCTTCATTGGGTCCTGTTGCCTCGACAAGGTGCGATTCTGTCTTATCTTTTACTTGATTTTCTTTGCCTCTTTTGTTGGATACAAATAATAATACACATTTTTTTTTTGTTCGTTCATGTAATCTGGTTCGCATCCTTTTTTCTTTGTTCTTACGAGTCTTTCTGGGTTTAGTTGAAGTATTATACACTGCCGTGGCTTTGTTGTAACTCTTGCTCCTTTGTTCTGGATGTTGACAACGATCATGAATTATGTAGTATGCGATTTTACGAATGAATGACTTTTGTTGGTTGTTTATTTTAGATGCTCGTTGATGACATTGGTGATGTGACCATTACTAATGATGGTGCCACTATACTTAGAATGTTGGAAGTAGAGCACCCTGCAGCCAAGGTGAAGTGATGATCATATTTTGATTTTGTTATTTGTCATACATTAGCTTCACTTTGACATTCATTCATGGGCTTTCAGGTGTTGGTGGAATTGGCTGAACTTCAGGATAAAGAAGTAGGAGATGGCACAACTTCTGTGGTCATTGTAGCTGCAGAGTTGCTAAAAGTAAGTTCAAACCTCAATTTCCTAGCTGTTCATATGTATTTTGTAGGGTATTATAGTGTAGGATGTCATCGGGCATTTTCTATTTTTTTGTGCAGAGAGCAAATGATCTAGTGAGAAATAAGATTCATCCAACTTCAATTATCAGTGGATACCGAGTAAGCATCTTCGTTCCTATTGTTCTGCTTCTTATAGTTCATGCATATATTGCCTTTGAAGCAAGACATGCAAAACTTATCGCTTCTCTTTGTTAATTGTCCTGGATTTTGGATAGCTTGCGATGCGAGAAGCTTGCAAATATGTGGAAGAGAAGCTGTCTGTCAAGGTAAGATCTTCTGTTTTAGCTTTATTGAGTTGATGCAGTGTTGCTATAAATTATTGGAGCATATTTTATTTTCTTCTACTCCTTTTCTCTTGGTCATCTCCTCTGGCTCCTTATCTTATATTCTGTGAAACAACGGTTAGCTCTGATCAATTAGCCATGATTTTGTGTGAAATTGATGCATTTGTTGGCGGTTATTTATCTTATATCTTAAATTCTTAATTAATCTGATTGTTCTTTTGCCATTGCAGGTGGAGAAACTTGGAAAGGATTCGCTGATTAACTGTGCCAAGACCAGCATGTCCTCAAAGTTGATAGCTGGTGATAGTGATTTCTTTGCCGACTTGGTATGTTCAGACAAAGCTTTTTAAGCATTTCTGTTTACATTTCTGTCTTGCTTGGATTAACAGTAAAGAGCCGATGTTTTATGATTTCTTTAGAGGGCAATGGTTCCCCTTTTGCCACAGAAATCATCTTTGATTTGAAACGTTTTAAGCAATGCAATGACTAATATTAATTTTCTGTATGATGTTCTGATAGTTCATTTATGCCTTGACTCTCAACCTGGATTGCATGTGTAACTTTGCTGACTGTATGGTCAAGTACTTTATGATTATTTTTTTATTCTGCATAATCATGTAATCAGGCTTAGTCAAACGAATTGCAAACTGTTGGAGGCCTCTGCTGGATATTTGAGGTTTATTGATTTGTTTGTGAAATTGGTTGTTTGTGTTGTTGTTATATTCTATGTTTCACAACCTGAGGTGATATAATAATCCTTGACCATAAACATAATTTCCAGTATCAGTGCTGTGTCTATGCCTCTAGAATTAATGAATTTAAAATCATATCCAGAGTATGCTAATGGCAGGACAATACAATTAATCAATTTAAAGGAAGAAAAAGAGGTAGGAGACAATAGCAATATTGAAACTGTTTGGCAAACTGTAAGCTTCACTGAAATTTAGAATAAGAATAAGAATGTTGTGATTTCTGCTTGCTGCATTCAACGCTAAGACTTACTTTAAATTTGTCTTTTGTTGGAGCATTATCAGTTCATTTTGAGTAATTGTTCCTTAGTCATTAGTTTGTCTGTGCGGGAAACTAGCTGTTGTTTCTGAGCTAGTCATCATTTGAATGATCAATTTAAATTTGAATTTTTTGTACAAAATTCAGGTTGTAGATGCAGTACAAGCAGTAAAGATGACCAATGCCCGTGGTGAAGTTAAATACCCAATCAAGGTTGGTAATTTGATGAACTTGATGATATTCTCCTGTGAATCTCTTTTCCGTGCTAAAAAAAAGTTGAATTTGGTAATATGTCATCTGGTCATCAATAGTAGTCTCGAGCTTTTTAAATGGTAATATATAGTTCAATCTTGCTTAAATTTTTTCTTGATATTATGCTTAAGCTTGGTTCAAATATGATTTTTTTTTTTAAATTTCCAGGGAATCAATATATTGAAAGCTCATGGAAAAAGTGCTAGAGATAGCTATCTAATGAATGGGTATGCTCTAAATACTGGTCGTGCAGCCCAAGGAATGCCTCTTAGAGTTGCCCCTGCAAAAATTGCTTGTCTTGATTTTAATCTTCAGAAGACAAAGATGCAGTTGGGTGTCCAAGTTGTAGTCTCTGATCCCAGGGAGCTTGAGAAAATTCGTCAAAGGTATGTAATAAATTGATGCCATATATGCATCTTCCAGGATGAATTTTGTTTAAATTATTACCCAAATATAAAAGGTAGTGTTTTCAGTTTGGTATGAACATGATATTGGGCATTAGGCATTTCCAAGATGCTTGAACGTGCATATTTCACAAACTTTTCAATTGATTATGCTTTTTATTAAAATAAGAATTAGAAGTAGAACTATTTCTTGTTAAACAATGCCATGCCCTATTGGTACGGAGATAAGGGGAGTTGTGCTGTGCTTGTTGAAAATGTGTTTGTTCACCATTTTGTTCTTGGTGTAACAGTTGTCCTCTTGTACCCTTTTCTTCATCAATAATATATATTTTGTATCTTTGAGAAAATTGCATATATGCAGTAAAAGGGAATATTATGGTTTATAAAATTGTTTAGTACCACGATTTATATCATATCATGTTGGAAATTTATTTAGCACTTAAGAAAATTCTTCCTTCTTCCATCTTGAAACATAAAATAGTATATTATTGCTGCGATATGTTCCAAAAGTGTGTTTGATTGTTTTGCTTACAGAGAGGCTGATATGACTAAAGAACGAATTGAAAAATTACTGAAAGCAGGAGCAAATGTTGTTTTGACTACTAAAGGAATTGATGACATGGCCCTCAAGGTAGGTTTCTCTTAAGGTGATCTCTCATTGGAGAGGAGATTCAAACAGGACAAGTGCCTAGTTATTTTGTATTGTCTTTTGTTCATGAAGCTTATGATCTATTTTAGGCCATCAAAAACTAGGATCTCTATACATGTGTAGCGTGAAGTATTTTGAATGTTCTCCTATAACAGATGTATTTGACAATAGACTCTTTCGTCCATGCATTTGCAAGATGAAACAAGCTTTTCTCATCTTTCCACAGATTTGCATCTTCATTTTCTCAATCAAAATTCTGGGAGATAGTTAATTATGCATCTTTTATTGCTTCCATTAGGATTATGAGTTCACTTTACTTTCATTTAGATGCTGTGATTAGTAGTTTTGCTTTGTTGTATGTTTGCTTAGTTCTTTGATTGGGGATGGGAAATTTTATGTAGATTTAAATTCAAATTGTTTTACTATTGATCTTGGGTCAAATTGAAGGATTTTTGTTGTGTTTTTTTTTAAATTCCATGTTCTATGTCTGATTTGAAGAAGCATATTGTGTGAGTACTTATTGTATTTTAATGTTCAATTTTTTTCAGTACTTTGTTGAGGCTGGGGCAATTGCTGTAAGACGAGTGAGGAAAGAGGATATGCGCCATGTTGCGAAGGCAACTGGTGCTACCTTGGTAAGTCCTTTTCTTTTCCTTTAATATTGTGCACAAGAAGGGTTGCATTGGTCAGTAGTAAGCTGAAATATTTGCTTTCATCTTGGGAAGCACGTCATTTCCTGTCCATGTAGCTTACCTTCTTGAGCATCCATTCCTATCTTGTAACTCTGCTAAATTAATCTAACATAATGGCAGCCTATTTCCACAATACTATGTGCACTATTTGGGCTGTACAGATTTATTTTTATCTCAAGTTAGATAACAAAAAGCTCTCTTGTCCTCTTTGTTTTCTTGGCTGTCAATTGGGCTAATATCTTGATTTTGATATTTCATGTTGAGCTTTCACCCTGGCTTGTTACGTGTTGTTTCTTCTAGTCATGTAATAGCTGACGTTGTTTGTCATACTAAATTCTCAATGAATTTTAATTCTTGCCTTGTCTACTGTATCTGATGGATGCAGGTCTCAACATTTGCTGATATGGAAGGGGAGGAAACATTTGAACCATCGCTTCTTGGATTTGCAGATGAGGTTGTAGAGGAGCGTATTGCTGATGATGCTGTAATTATGATAAAAGGGACCAAGACTACTAGTGCTGTGAGTGGCTGGGCTCAAATTTGACAGTGAAATGTGCTTGACCCATTTTAATCACCCATGCAAATTAAGCAAAATTTGGGATCATGGTAGCGTATAGGTCTAAGTCTGCTACCATTGGTACCAAAACCCTTCACTTGCTGGATCACCTGAAATTTTGCAATCTGAAGATATCAATTTAAAAGGAATGTGGTGATATATATTTTTTATTTTTATTTCGCTGGTGTAAACCACATCAAAATTCAATTTCTAAAAGGCCATCCTCATGTAAGTTGCATATGGGCTATTTATAGAGGCCTATAGCTAGCCCCTTCGTCCACTCTAAAGGAATCTTAAAATATTATAAAACATAAAACTGAAATGGAATAAAATAAAAGCATAAATGTAAAATAGTTTTCCTTCTATAGTAGGTTTTCTCGAAAGTGCTAATTCTTATAGTCCATCACACATTGCATTGCCGTCTCTTTATTATTCTGCAGGTCTCTTTGATCCTCAGAGGTGCAAATGACTATATGCTTGATGAAATGGATAGAGCTCTGCATGATGCTTTATCGATTGTCAAGAGAACTCTTGAATCAAATACGGTAACCTTCTGCAACTTTAGCTTTTTATCCTATTTTGAAGTTCCTTGTGTTCATTTTAGTTTAAATTTTTATATTTTTTGTTGAAATGTCTTTAGTATAATGTCTTCTGGGGTTGAAATTTTGTGCTCAACATTTACTTTGGGATCTCTAGTTGATCCATTTTATTAATATAGGTCCAAATTTGAGGTGCCGACACACTTATCAATACTGTTGTCTGAACTCTGAATATAATAATACTACTGAGGGAAATGGTTTAATTAATCAACATAATAGAATAATTACCGCAATGTATGCATGAAGCCAAATGGTATGATAATTTAGTTTTATTTGTTGTTTTCCTTAGACCTGAGTCATCTTCAATGATGGAATTGTGGCTTGAGGAGCGGAATGGTGGAACAAAATCCTGGGTGGAAGCCAGCTATTAGGGATACCAAGGGAATCAGGATTCAATTAGATAACTTGAAGACAGCACAATGGTTTATTTTTTGGGCAATGGTTCTTTGATGTATTAACAGTATGATATAGGAAGGTGGCAGTGGCGCAGGATCTTGATATATTTAGCACTTGATATGATTATGGCAAGTTCGACGGAACATGGTTTATGGCTTTTGAAATTTAGGTGACTTGATATGTGAGGGCTTAGTGAATTTTGAATTAGGAGGGGTAACTGAGGGATTAGATGAGGAGGTATGGTTTGAGCAGTATAAATAATATTAGAAGAGATGTATCCAGTGTCTTGGTTAAAATTAATATGAAGTTTTAAGTTTATTTTCTCTCATTTCTCCTTTTACGTGCATCATAACTTGTCTTGCTTCATGCTTAGGCTTTATAAGCAATGCCTAAAGGATCGAATATTGTTTGGGTATCTTCATAGAATTTACACTCTAGTGCTGCTAAACTTGTATGGAGTGCTAAAGAATGACTCGTGTATTTTGCAGTTGTATATTAACTTTATGCACTGAATTTTTCACAACTCACAATGCAGGTGTAGCTGGTGGTGGTGCTGTTGAGTCTGCATTATCAGTATATCTGGAGTATCTTGCTACAACTTTAGGATCTCGGGAGCAGTTGGCTATTGCAGAGTTTGCAGAATCTTTGTTAATCATTCCCAGGTTGGTACGAGCTAAGCTGATAAAACTCGTACTCAGGACATGTGCTTGCTATTCTAAAATTGTTGGATGATTTACCAAATTGTACTCTTCAACATCATTATCCCTATGATTTACCAAATTTTTTGTAGATTCTGCACAATATGGCAATTCTTTTATGCTAAGTATCTGTTTAGTTATATTTTCTTGTTACCTACCATGTTAGGAACTCTAAAGATACATTTGCAACTACTTTGCAGGTCCTTGCTGTCAATGCTGCCAAGGATGCCACCGAGTTGGTTGCAAAACTACGAGCTTACCATCATACAGCACAAACAAAAGCTGATAAGAAACATTTATCTAGGTATTTATTTAACAAGCTGATGTGAAGCTTTGTTTTTGTGTATATACCTGTGTCACGATCATTATTTCTTCCAATGCATTTTAGTTCTGGTTTGAGATTTAACGCTTAACCATTCCATTTTCAATAAGCATTTGATAGAAAAGGATTATTGAATGGGTTATTAGGAAGTGGAGTGACTCTTAAAATGGCGTGTTGGTGACTCAGTTACTCCTCCACTTGACATTCATTTGGCTCTGTTTTAGTGGGTTCCTTGAAGCGTCTTAAGAATTTCTTTAGGAACTGGAAATGACGCTGGACTAGCTTGCTTGTCATTTGTGCGTGGGAGAGAGAAGCGGAGGGGACTGGGATGCTATCGTCATTCCCTTTCTTTGTGGTAGACATGTTTATTTGGTTTCTCTGACGGTTTTTAATGTTTTTTCAGCATGGGATTGGACCTTTCAAAGGGAACAATCAGAAACAACTTGGAAGCTGGAGTCATTGAACCTGCAATGAGCAAAGTAAAAATACTTCAGGTAAACATTTTGGTACAGATTATTTTTGACTGGCCTTTCGATTTGGCGAAACAGCTCCCTTTTACAGTCAACTGAGAAAAACCTTACTTCGTTTCCAGTTTGCAACTGAAGCAGCCATTACAATTCTTCGAATTGACGATATGATCAAACTTGTCAAGGACGAAAGTCAAAATGAAGAGTAGTGTGTGCCTCAACGTGTGAAAACCTTTTGGGCCTTTTCCCTCAAAAACAGAAAGAAAAAGGAGGGATACAATGGTGTGCATTTGAAGGTGGTTATCGTCATCTCATCTGCATTCTAAGCTGTAATGCCTTCCATGGCTTTGAAGGGAAAATGTGTTCAATTTGTGTTCAAGTGACGTTGATTTATTTCTGTCTGGATCTTCATATTTTAAGCATTTTTGTTATAATTTTTCATTATACTAGTTGTAGCTTTCTGATCAGGTTGCGTATTGTGGCTGGACGAGTTTGCCCTTTTGTATTGAAGTCAATGAATTTGTAATTTTAGGCCAAGCTTGTTTTGTTGTTCAAGGATGCGGTTAGCTTGTTAAAGTTTGGTACTGCCTTTCAATTTCTGTTTTTTTCTTCAATTGTGGGGGTCTTGGCTGGGGGGGTCTTTGGTAAATTTATGGTGTAAGAATTTATACTTATAGTATGCGTATCTCTTTTATTTTCAAGATCCCATTCGCTAACTCGCTAGATGTAACATTTTTTTTCCTGTAATATTCTGCCTTACCATGCGCTTTTTTTTTTTGGTAAATATCTTCAACATTTTTTGAAAACATTTTCAACTTTCAATTGGGCATATTCTATTTTTTTTTATAAATAGAAGGCTAAAATTTCACAACCTCCAATTCCCTTTTTAACTTCTTAACATTTAATATGGAACTTTCTTGAGCTTTCTTAATTTTGTTCATTCATTTTTTTTTTGTATGCATGAAACTTGCGCAGAAAATCTTTCCAAATTTTAAGCTGTGTGCGGATGAGTAGTGAATGGAACAAATCTTAAGGGAGTTATCTGAATAAATGTAAGAGTTAGGGCTTATTGTAAAGTTTAGAAGTTAGAAAAGTTATCTATACCTGATGTAAAGTTGAAAAGGGTTATATATGATATACCAGTTGAGCTTTATTTGCGAGTAGAATTAATAATATAGGTTGAGCTTAGCTAGCAAATAATTGCAAAGTTAGATTAGAGAAAATGTGTTCAATTTAATTGTGAGGTGTGTTTGACTTGCATTGCATAACTCGAACTCATTGTGGGCACTTAAAAAGTTGACGGGCTAGCCTGCTTATATTTTAAAAAAAATAAATAAAAACAATCAAATAATTGAGATTGGAGTTTAAAATAAAGCATTAGAGCAAGCATGTATGAAAGTGCAGTCTAAGTATTTGACACTTGTACATTAATTAATTCAAGTTTCAAATTATGGTAGCAAATGATAAGAACACATCACTCATATATTTAAGTGGTAATATAATGTAATCTAATGTATTGAGACAAGTTTGAATAAAATATTTTATTATACTTTACTTTATTCATAGCAGATTATTTTGTTTGGCAAAATAATGTTAACCAAGCAGCAAATAAAAAAAGTCTCGTTTTCATTTTTTATTTAAGAAAATAACATATTATGAAGTGCTAAATATATATTATATTATCATCTTAATTTTGAACATAAAAGAGAAAAAATAGATATAAAGATCATAATGTTTGGGTGGTATGAATTGAATGTGTTATGAATAGTAATGTAGTAGTTACAATATAAATCACCATGACATTTAAAAAAAAAAAAGAAGTGATATTTTAAACTGGAGTATCAATTTTATAAACAAAAATGTCAAAATAGTATAAAGAAAAAAGGGGATAAATAGAACATTTCTATCATTCATATCTCTATAATACTGATAAGTCAATAAAGATTATAAAATGAAAGGAATCACACAATTAAATTAGTTTATATTTAAGTGGTAATATAAGTATGTCTTAATTAGAAGAACTTTTATTATTATTAGGATAGTTTAATTCTTAAGGAGAATATATGATTTTTTATAGCAAAAAAATAATTAA